ATTAGGTGCATCTAACCTGTTCTATTTTTCTCTGAAATGAGATCAGATCAGTGCTTCTATGGGTTGTCTCCACTCTGCACTAGAAAATTTTTACTTTATTTAGAGATGCTGGGGTCCTGCCCTCATGAGAAAATTTCTACGCAGTATTTTCTCCAAAAGACTGTGCCATCTACGCCCTGAAGCGTAGACAAATAAGGCATATTGAGATCAGCGCCAGCAGGGACTTCATGTCCCATGATTCCCTGCAGCTGGCAGCAGCTTGATGATGTCATCACGCAACACCAGTGGATATCGGCCCATACAGGGACCGCCTGCTGGACGAGTCTATAAAGCCGAGGCGCAGAGCGGAAATCTTTCTCTTCCCGGCCAGTTCATCTGGTGAAAGGAGACACCCGCCTCTGCCTACCGCTCCGGACAGCGTGTGCTGAGGCCTAGCTGCTGAGACCGACGGACCAACGCCATCCGATCTGCTCAGCCCGAACACGGAGGGACGCCTTGTGTTCGTTCATTCAAGATTTTTTTTTCCTTTTTTCTCTCTCTCTTTCTCTCCTGCTTCTCTAATAGTCCGAAACAAGCGGTCGACCACGTGACCGCTTTAAATTAACAAACGGTTTCTCTACTCCGTACTAAAACGCCAAGGGATCATCTCAGAGTAAGCTCCGTTCTTTCATTGTTTAATATCTAAGTTTGTTTATGCTGTGGCCAGGCTGACAGACTGTTCAGATATGTGATTTGCCTTTTTGACTGATCTGTTGTTTTTTTCTTGATCTTTGTGAAGCGGTTTGAAGTGTTTTGATGAAGTTACTGTGAACGTTTGCTCACACATACACAGTTCGATCCTTTGGGTCAGCCAAACAAAGGATCCGCCATTTTGTTTCAAAACTCCCTCCAGTTTGGTAATCAGCCTATCTCTGCCTGATTACATCATCAAGCAGCCTCACCATTGCTGGATCACACAACATCTCACCCCACCGGTCTGATTAGATTGTTACTGCACATTATCATTCCATGGTTTCATTACTTGTGGTTTGTTTGATAAAATCAGTTGGTTGATATTGATTGGCTAGCACTTTGAAGGAGCTGAAGTGGTTATATTAGTTAAGAAATGTTATTGCCAATTAAGTTTTGTCTCAAGTGAATTTGTCTGTGTTGGATAGAATATGACCGCTGCTTGTTAAAATAATTTTACGTACTTTAGAACGATTGACAGAGGTTTGGATTCGTTTTTCCCCTATTAAAGGGGTAGTGCCCCAAGGCATATCCACGGATATCCTAAATACGTAATAAATCGGTAAATATTTCCATATTTACGAATTTTAATGATGGATCCAAAAAGTAAGTAAAGCTTACAAATTATTTCCCCCAGCTGGAAAAATTCCTAGGGGAAACACTGAACAGTCGTTTAATTTGCAGTAGTGGTCTCTAGTAGAATTAAATGTCTTGTAAGTCGTACTACAGGGGGAAAGAGCCAAGTGCCTGTATCAGCACTGAGAATTTAGCTTGGGAAGAAAGTAGCTTCAGATGGCAGGATCAGTAGCGGTTTTAGGCACGGGCAGACAGGGCAGTTGCCCGGGGCGGCATTTTTTCATGACACAAAAGGGGCGCACAAGCGCGGAGTAAAAAAAAAAAAAGGAAATCTGCGCCGCACCGAGGTTTTCTATTATCTGTCTTATGACAGTGTCTGGATTGGAAACAGCAAGTTGGCGCCCCCTGCAGCTGCAGGCGCTCCTGCTGACTGAGAACGTTCACGTGCTCCGTGTGTCTATGAAGAACAGGAAGGGGAGGGGTGCGGCGGGGGAATTCACCTCTGCGTCTTTCCCAAATGAATGAGCGTGCAGGGGCTGAATCAACTGTATTAACATGGCTAAAGTCAATCACATCTTAACGTTCTTCCATATTTCATTCATAATATCATAAACACAGGCCTATCATTCTTTCAGGTTTCTCTGAATTGTGTGAAATGGCCGAATAAAAAAAGGAAAAACAAAACGATTTTGTGGTCACCCCCCATCAAGGTCAAATTGATTAGTCCTGACTAAAGGAAACTTACTGAGTCAGGAGCCAAACAGAAGAGATGAACATAAAAAGGCTAAAACCACCAGGTGCCCGATTCAGGGGGAAAAAAAGAAAAAAGAGCAGAAAGATAAAGGTATGTAGCTCTCATGATGCATGTTTTCAATTTTTTGAACCAGTTAACTGGGATTTTAACGGTTAAATGCGGTCAACTACTTGCTAACAGAGCTAATAGGGCTGAAATATTTAAACAAATATTCAAATGGTTTGAAAAAAGTCCTCGAATCGTTTTTTACTGGTTCAAACTAGGATTTGTTAAATGCTCACTGCAGCTTGTGGCCTGCCTGAACAACAACAAACACATGTTGATCATGTTCACATAATAATAAATAAAACAACTCTTCAAGCAGAAGAAAACACCCCAGTCACCACTAACTATCCTGTTTATTTATTGCAGATGGCTGCACTGATTATTTTTTACATGATTTGTTCTGTAAAAGTAGGTATTTTTGGTAGTCTACAGTTTTTTATGTCAGTTTAAATTACAATTTCAGAGGCAATTGTAAAATATTATGGATCATGAGATCTATTGGAGATCTACCCCAACTTTTGGACTGCTCTGTCAGTCACTGTGGCTCAAGCTGAGAGGAGCTTTTCAAAACTTGATCAAGTCATACCTGAGGTCATCTATGTTTCAGGGGCGGCTCACTAACCTGGCTCTGATTAGTACCAATCACTCAGTAGGGGAGCAGATTTCATGTGATGACATTATTGATGACTTTGCATCAAGGTTAGGTTTTAATTTTAGTTTGTGTTTTCTATTCTAAGTGCAATGCTGTAGTGATTACCTTTAGTTTGTTACGTGTGAAATATTTTTGCTATTTAGAATATTTATTATCTATTATGTTCATATATTCTTAATATTTAGTTATTGTTTGTTTTTGTATATTTGATTCTATATATTTTGATACAGTATATAATGTATAGTGCTTTACATTCTGACAACTTCATAGTAATTAATGTAAATATGTGCAACTTAGAAAAATGAATGTTCAATAGTCGTTCTAATAAAACATGCCTGTTTGTAGAAAACATGCGTGTGTTCATGCAGGTGGGGTGGTGTGGTGGTGGTGGTGGTGGTGGTGTGGGGGGGGGGGGGGGGGGGGGCGCTCAAAGGGGGCCTCGCCCGGGGAGTAATTCGATGTAGAACCGCCACTGGGCAGGATTATTTTTTTCCTGAGAGTGTATACTCCTGGACCACTCATAGGTCCACTCATGGGACATGGTGATCAATCGAGAAAGTGTGGACAGTAAAGGGCGATATAGTCTGGGGGCGGTGCTCTGACGAAGGCGGCAGTGGACGCTGAAACATGTCAGCAAAGGTAAAAATAAGCTCCGTTTACTTTGTGTACAACGAAGAACCGCAAAAAATGAAATCAGATAGAAAACGCAGAATGAACGTAACAAAGAAGTTCAAAAATAAATTACATTTAGATCCCAAAACTTGAGAAACACTCACCAAAATCTACAAGTAAAGCGTGCTTTTCAGATAAGATCATGCATCTCTGCGAAATTAAATCAAAATTCAGCTAAATTCATTAATCATTTAGCAACAGTTTAATGAACCACAGAAACTTTTTGCAATGCTTATTGCAATAAAGTTTGTCATTTAAATCCCTTAATTTACGACAGGAGTCAACAACAGTTGAAGAAATAAATCTTTTAGCAGCAATGTTTAAAGAAAATCTGCAAAGAAAGACAGGCCCCAACCAACCTAGAGGTAAAAACGCCTCGATCTAAAACCTCTGCTGAATGTTTGGACCTACAGCTGAGCGTATGTCATCGTTCCAGGCTTTGGTGGGAACGTTCCCCTCAATAACAACAGTGTTGACTGACTGAGCTTTAGAAGTGTGCCAAATTCTTAGTCACCAACAAACAAAAGCTTACAATCACCATTCAGAGTCTGCACATTTTTTTTACGCTGCACACACATCAACAAATGTCTGCTCTCTGAAACATATAAAGATGTTTACAAATTCCTGCAAGTGCAGCTCTGTTGACACTCTCAATTTCAAGAACTATTTACAGATTTAAACGCACATAATCCAACTCTATTCATCTCTCAGCATATAAAATCAGGTTAAATGCTTCAGAATAAACATTATTACATTTATTCATTCCTGGTTGTGCATTTAATTTTATCCCAGAGGACCTGAACTATGAAAAGTGGAGGGCATTTTTTATGCTGCCATGTGGCGTGATTTCTAAAACAGACCGTCAGTCTGCAGAACACATGATGTGCATGCTTGCTTTCTCCACCGTGATCCTTTAATTCCTTAATCTCCTGAGCTAGTATGGTCCTAACCTTAGCACCACCACTGTCAACAACAGAGGTCACAAATAAAATAGAAATAAATCTGAATTGTAGATTGGTCGTTGGCTTGAAGCAAACAAAGCAGCTGACATTTAAAAGAATAGAACTTTACTTCTTTTCCCTTCGTTGTCTCCAATTCATAAAAAAGATGCAGCAACACAAACCAAAGAACACAAAGGTGTGCTTGAAGATCAAAGGGAAAATTGGGACGAAGCTGTTCGCAAAAAAAACATTAAATGAATATTTTCATGCTGCATAAACAAGTCAGGAAGTTTCTCAAATGACTGATATTGTGTGCATTCGCAAAAATATATCGCCATCTAGTGGTCTAAAGTACAATATAAGTTTTTTGAGGAAATTATAAAACAAAAATGAATAATTAGACTGGGCTTTAACATCACACTGCAGGTCTCAGGACGTGTTAAATTATATAACAAAATTAATCAAAACCGAGCAAAGCTTTTTATTTTATACCTCAAATTCTCACATTTAGATAAAAATTTATGATCTGCATAATGTGAACATCTTTTTTTATTCAAACTACATTTTTTGCTCCACTGAGGAAAAGGTAAGAAGACAAATGTGACACTTTCCCCCTCCCTGACTACAGTACCTGTACAAACCACCGGCGATTTCCAGCTGGGTTTTTATCTTCTCTTGTTGATTGACAACATCATGCTGATGAAGTTGCTCCAGGACTTGCTCTGCCTTCAGTAAGCCTTGGCCTGCCTCCTCTAAAGTTGAACAGTCAAGGACTTTTTCCAGCCTTGTTTGTTTATTTGTTTACATTTTACTGACTTGTGCATTACTGTAAAACACTGCAGTGGCAAGGATATTCATCTGTTAGAAGTGAAGCACCTCCCTGTGTAAGGTGTACACTCAGAAGACATGTGAGAACTTCCAGCCTTTCATCTCCACAGGAGGACATAGAGGAGCAGAAAGGTAGGAAGTCTTTGGGAAAAGCCAAGTGATCCAGGGCCTGCTGTCCCCAACCTGGGACAGAAAACAAATAGAAACATTAAATCAGAGGGAAGTTATCAAGAATGACTCTTAATGTACAAGAAAGGGCAACTGAGAGTTAAAACTTGTGAAAATAAGTGCTTTAAAATGACCTTTGAACTGTAAATAGGCTTTAGCCAGTCTGGTGTGGGCCTGGGCAAGTTTTAGGTGTCTGTCTCCGTATACAAGCCTCGTCAGAGCCACGCACCGCACCAGGTCCTGAATGCAAGCGTCAAACTGAACACACATTACAACTCTGTCAGTGCCACGTGTTGGTCAGCCACTTCACCCTCCATCAAAAAGTAGTAACAATAAAAATAAAATTCTGTCCATCGGTTTTCTGTCAGTGTGTGGTTTGCCTAAAATATCCACCTCAAAGAGTCTCTTTTGTTTCATCACAAATGAGGAAATTAGAATTAAACCACTTCTTGTGTGTAAGAGAGAGCTGCTGCTGGAGAAGCAGCAACTCTACTCCAAACCCCTCCCAGATATCAGAACTTCTCAGCTAAATTATCTTTTGCACTACCTCACGTGGGTCCACCATAGTGGACGGCTACAGTGAATTACCGGAGTATTGGACAGAGAGCAAAAGTGATAACTGGTAGGATTTTTCTTTGCCAATTTACCCTGGTTTCTATTAGCTCAAGCCCATTTCACTTGTGGGAAGGTTTAGCACACCTAAGTGGGGCTCAGAGTATTTACAAATGCCAGTTTCACCAAGAAATATATTCTAAAAAAAAATTTCGCTGCTATTTGACATGGAATACGACCAGAATATGACCGGAAGACGACCAGACAGTAATCGAGTGTGCATGAGAGGGAAACTTTTTCCATGTCAATAATACAGCCATCAGACTGACAGTTTGTGGGAGACAAAAACAATCATATTTATTTTTTGATACATTACTTTATGAAAATAATAACATTGACTTAAAGGACACACATAAATAGGAAAAGTCAGGAAGCCAGGACAATGTGAGATCCATGTAACTAAAGTTATTACAAACAGTCAAAATGACTTCCTTGGGAGTTCTAGTTATCCGTGAGATTAACAGTTGATCTAAGGCAACAAACAGGCTTGCTTTGACTAGCTTCACAGGAGTTTTGACGTGCATAAACAGCTTCTGTGCCGTCCATCGTAGCAAAGGGGGTGGTTTCATGATGTCTTGTGCAAAGGTTCAGTTGCAGCCTGAGTAGGAACGGGTGGGCATGGCCAGCTCCAGCTTGTTTTCTTAAAGTGACAGAGCCCTGAAACAGCTCATTCTGGAAGGTACTGAAACTGCCAAGAATAAATCTGCTGACTTTGCTTTATGTGAGAGGGATTTACAGCAAAGAACTTCATGAACATGATTTTTTTTTACCACAGAACTATTGCAACGTAAGAGAAACAGCCATAATGTGTCCCATTTAAACGTTCCTTGCTTTTACAGCCAATTGAGATCAGTGGACTCAGAGGTCTCCTTCAAAAAGCTGCTGATATCTCACTTGTTCAAGCTGGCTTTTGCATGACCTTCGTCACCACCCTCTGCTTATTCTCCACCTTTCCCGCGATCCACTGATTTAGCTCTTTCCTATTCATTTTCGCTCTCCCTTTCCTTACATTATTATTGTTTTTAATCACAAATTGTATAATTTTTTCCTCATTTTAAACCTATTTCTAATCATTTTTTAAATCTTTTTTTATACTTTGTCTTTTTTTGGGGGGTTGTCTATGTGAAGCGCCTCGTGACTTTTATCTTGAGAGGTGCTATATAAAAGATCATTTTCTTTGTTTCTTTCCTTACTGAAAACAGCATTTTTCTCCCTTTAACAAACGTCTCAGACACTTGTGACCAGCTTTATTACTGGTTAAAGTATAAACAAATTGCAAATAACAAAATAAGTCTTTAAACACTGAGCCCTCATTCATTATTTTATCGCTGTCCCTTTTCTTCTCTTGTAAGTCTTACAGGTTAAATGAACAGTGTAGAAAATGTATATGATTTAAAAAATATATTTTCTCTACTTTGTGATGATGCTGTAAACCAGTTATCAATGCTCTATTTTTAGATTACATCCCAAATCGCTTGCAAATGATATCAGTAGGTATTATCTGAATTACATTTATGCAATAAAGACTAGAAGAAGAAGTTCACTATCTACCTGTTGGCTGTCTTCACTGGCTTGAGCCCGACAGGTAAAGTGCTGCAGCTTTTGTTCAGGAGACATCATCAAAAATTCCTCCTTTGCAGATCGTGAGGGACTCGGTCCATCTGAACATCCATCAGTAAAGACACTTCCACCTCTGCTGCCATTTCTCTTGTTTTCAGGGAATCTGGGGGTTTGTTAGAATAGCTCTTGAGAAAAAGGCTTTGAAATTTAAAGAATGTTTTATAAGTTATTATCAAAAAATATTAAAAGGAGGGGTTCGTTTTTGCACGTAACTTACTCAGTCGAGGTTTCTGGTGAATGATGTTCTGCTTGATCGTTTTCCATGTTTACTATTGGTGAAAGGGCATTTCTAGGAAGTTGTTGATCGCCTGCCGTTCTCGCCGTTACCACTATGGTAGTTCTTCCGCATACGAAGTTGGGCTGCATTCAAAAGCACCGTTAAAAAAAAGCAGCAACAATAACACCAACGGCCAATCTCCTACTAGGGAGCTTAAGTCGTTTTTTTCCCGAACAAACAGACCGTGGTGCATGTATGATATAAAACATGTCAAAGTGTTCCTGATTACAAGTTAAGCTCGTATGTACAGTCTATGGTTAAGCTACAACCGCTGGCGTCCGAAGCATGGAAGTCGGGTGCATTCAAGAACACTACGACATCAGTGTTTCAGAAATGCAGGCCTATCCGAATTTATGACAAAAGAACTACGTCAAGTGGAAAATAAAATTACAAATTCGTCTTTCACCGCATAAATATTGTACGTAGCAAAACATCCTGCCTCTATATTTTTGTATTTTTTGTCAGAACAACGCTTCACTTTTGTTTTAGGATGATCGATTGATCAATCAATCAATCAATCAATCAATCAATCAATCAATCAATCAATCAATCAATCTTATTTGTAGAGCACCTTCCACAACGTTATCAGAAGCTCAAGGTGCTGAACAGCATAATCATAAAAACATTCCCAGTACCTGGGCATAAAAGCAAGATAAAAACATAAAATCATAAAATAACATGCAAGCAATATTGCAAATACAGAGAGATAATGGAATAAGACTATATCAATTAAAAACAAATGGTGGAAAAAATAAGATCAAGCATCCTGATCAAAAAGAAGAAGTATTAAAAACCATAATGTCAGGGCAATTCAAAGAACACTAGCGCTGAAAAGCAATCAAATAAAAATGAGTCTTTAGACAAGACTTAAATACTTGAATGGATGGTGCCTGCCTAATGCTCAATGGCAATTCTGTCAGCGCGTGGCGGTGAGTGAAGCAGATGCAAGGATTCACATGCGGGTGAGGGAAGCAGGCAGGCGGACAGACCAGCACGAGTAAAAGTATTTAATGATCACACGCTGAACAATGAAACAATGATCCACAAAAAGACACAGAACTGAAGGGGTTTAAATACAAGAGGGCTGGGAGCTTGGGTGATTGGAAAACGAGAGGCAGGTGGGAGCAATTAACAGAGATGCAGGACAGGGTGTGACAGTAACCCCCCCCCCCCCCCCCCCCCCCCCCCCCCCAAAAGGGCAGATTCCAGACGCCCACAGGAGCACAGAACAGGGTGGGAGGGGGGAGATCTGGTGGGAGGGCCAAGAGGGGCTGATGGAGAGGAGGCAGGGACCAGTAGAGTCCGGGGGCCTGCGTCTGGGGCAGAGGAGGAGGCGACAACGGATTCTTGGGGGCCTGTGTCTGTGGCAGAGAAGGAGGCGACGTCGGGCTCTTGGGGGCCTGCATCTGGCGAGGGCGGGACCGGCGGTGACCTGAGGCAGAGACACCGGAGGGGACGTCCTTGACCTTTGGACTGGAGGAGACGGCGTTGACCTCTGGGCTGGAGGAGGCGGGGTCAACCTCTAGACTGGAGGAGACGGCGTCAACCTCTAGACTGGAGGAGACAGCGTCAACCTCTGGACTGGAGACGACGACGACGACCACTGGACTGGAGACGACGGCGTCGTTGGACAGGAGGGAGCGTCCACCTCTGAACTGGAGGGAGCGTCGACCTCTGGATTGGAGGGAGCGTCGACCTCTGGACACGAGGGAGCGTTGACCTCTGGACCAGAGGGAGCGTCGACCTCTGGACCAGAGGGAGCGTCGACCTCTGGACCCGAGGGAGCGTCGACCTCTGGACACGAGGGAGCGTCGACCTCTGGACACGAGGGAGCGTCGACCTCTGGACACGAGGGAGCGTCGACCTCTGGACACGAGGGAGCGTCGACCTCTGGACACGAGGGAGCGTCGACCTCTGGACACGAGGGAGCGTCGACCTCTGGACACGAGGGAGCGTCGACCTCTGGACACGAGGGAGCGTCGACCTCTGGACACGAAGGAGCGTCGACCTCTGGACATGAAGGAGCGTCGACCACAGGACACGAGGAGGCATTGACTTCAGAACACGAGGAGGCGTCGACATCAGGACTGGAAGAGGCGTCGACATCAGGACTGGAAGAGGCGTCGACATCAGGACTGGAAGAAGCGTTGACATCAGGACTGGAAGAGGCGTCGACCACAGGACTGGAAGAGGCATCGACCACAGGACTGGAAGAGGCGTCGACCATAGGACTGGAAGAGGCATCGACCACAGGACTGGAAGAGGCGTCGACCATAGGACTGGAAGAGGCGTCGACCACAGGACTGGAAGAGGCGTCGACCACAGGACTGGAAGAGGCGTCGACCACAGGACTGGAAGAGGTGGCGAACACAGGACTGGAAGAGGCGGCGACCACAGGACTGGAAGAGGCATCGACCACAGGACTGGAAGAGGCGGCGAACACAGGACTGGAAGAGGTGGCGACCACAGGACTGGAAGAGGCGGCGACCACAGGACTGGAAGAGGCATCGACCACAGGACTGGAAGAGGCATCGACCACAGGACTGGAAGAGGCATCGACCACAGGACTGGAAGAGGCATCGACCACAGGACTGGAAGAGGCATCGACCACAGGACTGGAAGAGGCGTCGACCACAGGACTGGGGGCGTCACCCTCCATCGACTTCTGGTCTGGGGGCGTCGACTTGTGGTCCGGGGGCATCGACTTCTGGTCCGGGGGTGTCGGCTTCTGGACCGTCGGCTTCTGGACCGCCGGCCTCTGGACCGCCTGCTTCTGGACTGTCAGCTTCTGGAGTGGAGGAGGAGTTGCTGCAGACGGGACCGCTTGGACAGGCTGGACCGGATGCGGTGCGACCTCCGGGACCACTGCTGGAACTGGATGCGGTGCAACCTTTCGGACACCACGGGAACTGGACGCAGCGCAACCTCCGGGACCACCGCTGGAACAGTATCTGACTGAACAGGTGGTGCCGGAAACTGGGAGAGAAGGGAGGATAGATTGTCCAGCTGGAGCTCCTGGAGACTGAGGCTCTGATGGAGTTGGGCCAGCTCAGCTCGGAGACCGGCAAGCTCTGCTGGGTGGACTGCGGGCTCGATCCTTTGGCCAAGAGATGAGGGAGCTGCAGACTGGACCAGAACCTTCTCCTGGTAATTCGGGGAGGATAGGGTGTCCAGCTGGAACTCCTGGAGGCTGACGAGCTGACGGATCCGGCCAAGCTCCGCCTGGAGACCGGCAAGTTCTGTCAGCTGGGCTGTAGGCGTGGTTCCTCCACCTGCAGATGACGGAGGTGCTGATTGAAATGGAGACGGGACAGCTGGTCTGAGTGGGGGCGGGTCCAAGCTGGTGCGCCGAGCCGGGGCAGCGGCGAGCTCACGGCTCCGTCCTGGGACACAGGGTTGCGGTGGAGCCCGGCATCCTTCCCCACGCCGTGGGCCAACTCCGGGGGAGCACACAGCCAGCCTGGTGCCCACGTAGCAGGAGCGGTCTGGCAGCGTCTCCCGGTCCAACCTCTCACCTGGCTCCGGGAGGGTGTAGAGGATCACCGAGGCTGAAGTTCGGTGGCGGCGTCTGCGGCGAGGAGACGCCGGAGGAGGAGAAGACGGCCGGTGGTCCGAGGAGAGAAATTGGAGCAGGAACTCCCAGGGGAGAATCTCCCTGCTGGATCCTTTAGTGGGGTGGATCATTCTTTCAGCATGTGGCGGTGAGTGAAGCAGATGCAAGGATCCACATGCAGTTGAGGGAAGCAAGCAGGCGGACAAACCAGCACGAGTAAAAGTATTTAATGATCACACGCTGGACAATGAAACAATGATCCACAAAGAGACACAGAACTGAAGGGGTTTAAATACAAGAGGGCTGGGAGCTTGGGTGATTGGAAAACGAGAGGCAGGTGGGAGCAATTAACAGAGACGCAGGCTGAACCAAATGGGGAGACAGGACAGGGTGTGACAAATTCATTCCACAGAGTTGGAGCCAAAACAGAAAATGCACGATAACCCCTCGATCGATATTTCGACCGGGGGACCACCAGACGTCCCTGCTCGGCTGAGCGGAGAGAGCGAGATGGAGCATACCTGTGCAAGAGTGCAGTAATGTAAGAGGGGGCACTGCCCTGGAGGGCCTTATAAACGAGAGTTAAGATTTTAAATTTAGCTCGGTATTGCACCGGGAGCCAGTGCAGAGCATCCAGCACTAGGGTAATGTACTCTCGACATCTAGTACCTGTCAGGAACCTAGCCACTTAGTTCTGTACAAATTGGAGCCATGCAACCGTGCACTGGGCCAGACCAGCATACAGAGCATTACAGTAGTCCAGACGGGACAGGACGAAAGCATGCAACACAGACTCCAGATGAGCTCTGGACAGCAGAGGCCTGATCCTGGATAGTCGTTTCAGATTAAAAAAACAGGACCTCTCCACTGTATTTACGTGAGTGTTGAGATTAAGTGAGGAGTCAATTTTTATCCCCAAATTACTGACTATTTTCTTTTCATAGGGGGTCAATGGGCCAAGGTCAATATCAGCACCTGAGCCATTTCTTCTGCCAGGACTAAGTATTATGACTTGCGTTTTGCTCTCATTTAGGTGCAAAAAATTAGAAGCCATCAAACATTTTATGCCCTTCAAACAGTCCAATAAAGGAGAAACAGATCTATCCTCCCCAAGTCGAAGAGGCAGTCATCAGCAAAAAAAAAAAAATGAAATTTCACATTATGCTGACGAAGGAGGACTCCAAGACGAAGCAAATACACTGCAAATAGGAGAGGACCAAGGACAGAGCCCTGTGGCACACCCCAACAAAGTCTCACGCAGGGTGAAGTCACCTCACCCATCTGAACACTAAATGTCCTGTCTTGAAGGTATGAGAGAAGCCATTGGAGGGCCTGCCCAGTTATCCCCACCCAATGCTGTAGTCGGTCCAGAAGGACTTCGTGGTCGACTGTATCAAAAGCTGCAGATAAGTCCAGCAATAGTAGGACAACATCGTTATCCATGTCACAGGCTAAAAACGTGTCATTATAAAACATTAAAAGAGCAGATTCAGTGCTGTGGCCTGCCCTGAACCCTGACTGAAAGGTCTCCCATTAATCATTTGTGTTCATAAAGGCAACCAATTGTGAAATTCAGAATTTAAGGAACCCTGTTTAAAATTCCCCTAACAAGTCAACTTTCTTTTAATGAATATTGCAGCTCATATAAAGTCATTGTTTAGTAAAATATTTGATTTACGTTGTTTGACAAAAATTCAACCGAACAAATTTTCCAAAGAG